AAATTTTATCAAGATATTTAATCATCCTTAATTTCCAAACATCTTGCAACATTTCCTAAAAATGTTTATTTTTTAACTTGAATGTTTCCTCCACAAAGCTCTGTGTGGCAAACCTTCTGAGGTTTTATATATCTATGAATATTTGTAATATATCTCTACATTTGAGTGGTACCTTTGCTTGATATAAAATATTGATTTAAAAATTTTTTTTTCAACGTTTATTTATTTTTGGGACAGAGAGAGACAGAGCATGAACGGGCGAGGGGCAGAGAGAGAGGGAGACACAGAATCGGAAACAGGCTCCAGGCTCTGAGCCATCAGCCCAGAGCCCGACGCGGGGCTCGAACTCACGGACCACGAGATCGTGACCTGGCTGAAGTCGGACGCTTAACCGACTGCGCCACCCAGGCGCCCCTAAAATATTGATTTTAAAACCATATTCCTTCTATGCATTAAAAATATTTCATTGTCTATTTACATCCAGGATAGCTAGTAAGAAGTCTGATGTGAGTAGGATTACTGTTTTTGTGTAGGCAAACTTCCCTTTCTGTCAGAATTTTCTCTTTGATTTTGAAATTTATTAAATCTATGGAGGTGTAAGCCTTTTATTTTCTCTCCTTTTTATCACTCTATAGAGTTTTGAAATATGAAGTCATTTATATTTGAATAATTTGTCTCCATTATTTTTCTAAATATTTCTTCTCAATTTTATTTCTTATTCTTCTGGGACTCATACATAATATGAATTATATAATATGTATCATATATATGTTATATATAATTAATGAAACAGATGCATGAAGATCTTAAGTTGCCTAGCATACATTCTATACATAGAAAGCATTCAAAATTGTGAAAAATTTAAAAAGTATTATGAATATTGAATTAATGAATATTTATTATATTATATTATGAATTCATATTACGTATAAAGTAGTTTCAAGTTTTTATTTAAATTCCAGTTAGTTAACATACAGTGTAATATTAATTTCAGGAGTAGAATTTAGTGTTTCATCACTTGCATAAAACACCCAGGGTTCATCACAAGTGCCCCTCTTAAATGCCCATTAGCCATTTAACCAATTCCCCACTCACCTCCCTTCCAGCAACCCTCCGTTTGTTCTGTATAGTTAAGAGTCTGTTGTATGGTTTGGCTCTTTCTTTTTTTTTTCATTAATCCTTCTTTTATTTTGCTTAGGGGATAAATTACATTATTTGATTACTTCTTATTGTGCTAAAATACACATAACATAAAATTTACCATTTTAATCATTTTATTTTTAAAATGTTATTTATTTATTTGTTTGTTTAAATATAATTTATTGTCAAATTGGCTAACATACAGTGTGTAAAGTGTGCTCTAGGTTTTTGGGGTAGATTCCCATGGTTCATCGCTTATACACAACACCCAGTGCTCATCCCAACAAGTGCCCTCCTCAATGCCCATCTTCCCCTCTCCCCCACCCCCACATCCACCCTCAGTTTGTTATCTGTATTTAAGAGTCTCTTATGGCTTGCCTCCCTCTCTCTGTGTTTGTAACTATTTTTCCCCTTCCCTTCCCCCATGATCTCTGTTAAGTTTCTCAAGATCCACATATGAGTGAAAACATATGATATCTGTCCTTCTCTGACTGACTTACTTCACTCAGCATAATATCTTCCAGTTCCATCCATGCTGCTGCAAATGGCATGATTTTATTCTTTCTCATTGCCAAGTAGTATTCCATTGTATATATAAACCACATCTTTATCCATTCGTCAGTTGGTGGACATTTAGGCTCTTTCCATAATTTGGCTATTGTTGAAAGCACTGCTATAAACATTGGGGTACATGTGCCCCTATGAATCAGAACTCCTGTGTCTATTGGATAACCATTTTAAAGTGCACAATTTAGTGGCATTAAGTATATTTACAGCGTTGTGCAACCATCATCTCTATCTAGGCTTTACCTTTAAGTTCAGGAACAATATCACTTCTCTTCAAGGTTTACTGAAGGTTCTAGTCAGGGCAGTCAAGAAAGAAAATAAAATAGGGGCGCCTGGGTGGCTCAGTCGGTTAAGCAGCCGACTTCGGCTCAGGTCACGATCTCCCAGTCCGTGAGTTCGAGCCCCGCGTCGGGCTCTGTGCTGACAGCTTGGAGCCTGGAGCCTGTTTCAGATTCTGTGTCTCCCTCTCTCTGACCCTCCCCCATTCGTGCTCTGTCTCTCTCTGTCTCAAAAATAAACAAACGTTAAAAAAAAAAAACTATTTAAAATAAAAATTAAAAAAAAGAAAGAAAATAAAATAATAGGCATCTAGATTGGAAAGGAAGGAGCAAAACTGTATTTATTTTCTGATGATTTTGTATATACAGTTAACCCTTGAAAAACACAAGTTTGAGCTGCACAGGTCCACTTGTATGTGGATTTTTTTTTTTTTGTAAGTACAACATGGTACTATAAATGTATTTTCTCTTCCTTATGATTTTCTTAACATTTTTTCTCTCTAGCTTAAATTATTATAAGAATACAATATATAATACATATAACATACAAAATACGTTTAAAATTTTTTGTTAATGTGTATTATTTTTGAGAGAGAGAGAGAGACAGAGAGACAGAGTGCAAGCAGAAGGGGGGGTAGAGAGAGAGGCAGACACAGAATCCAAAGCAGGCTCCAGACTCAGGAGCTGTCAGTGACAGAGCCTGGAGCTGGGCTCAAACTCATGAACTGCAAGATCATGACCTGAGCCAAAGTCAGATGCTTAACCGACTGAGCTACCCAGGCGCCCCCAAAATACGTTTTAATGAACTGTTTATGTTATTGGTAACAGTAACAATAACCTAAGCCTGACAATAGGCTATTAGTATATTAAGTATGTTTTGGGGGAGTCAAAAGTTATACATGGATTTTCAACTGCATGTGTGTGGGGGTCAGTGCCCCCTAACATCTGCATTGTTCAAGGGTCCACTGTAAAAGATACTAAGGAATAAAAAAAATAAACTACTAGAATGAACAAATGGGTTCAAAGATGGCAAAGTACAAGGTCAATACACAAAAATCAATGGCATTTCTACCCACTAGGAAGGAACAATCTGAAAATGAAATGAACAATTCTACTTACAATAACATCAAGAAGAATAGCATACTTAAGAATAAATTCATCTAAATAAGTGGAAAATTCATAGTCTGAAACAACAAAATCTTGTTGAAAGAAATTACAGATGTAAATGAATGGAAATACGTCCCATGTTCATGGCTTGAGATACTTCATACTGTTAAGATAACAGTACTTTCCAAATTGATTTATATATTCAGCATAGTTACTACCCAAATCCAAGCTGTTTTCTTTGCAGAAATTAACAAGCTGATTTTAAACTACCTATATAAATTCAAGGGATCCCAACTAACAAAAGCAATCTCAAAGGAATAGAACAAAGTTTCAGGATCCATATGTCCTGATTTCAAATCTTACTACAAAACTACAGTAATCAAGCTAGTGTGATATAGTCATGAAGATAGATATAGGCCAATAGAACAGAGCTGAAAGTCCAGAAGTAATCCCTCAAATTTGTATCCAGCTGAATTTTTATAAGGTGCCAAGACAAATCAATGGGGGAAAGAAATATCTTTTAAATAAATGACTCTGGGAAAACTGGATATCTACATGCAGAAGAATGACATTGAAGCCTTTTTGTGCATTAGTCACACAAAATTAACTCAAAATAGACCATTAATATATCGAAAAAGCAAGCCTCATAATGAAAAAAAATCCTCAATATGTATATTTGGCAAAGGACTAAAATGTAGAATATACAAAGAATTTTTTACAAATTAATGTTAAAAAGCAGACTACCCAATAAAACAGCAGCAAAGGGTTGGGAACAGGTCCTTTACAAGAGAAACTATCAGAATGATCAGTAAGTATAGGCAAAAGGGATAAACTACACGAGTTATCAGACAAGTGCAAATTAAAGCCACAGCACACTGTTTCTATAAACCCATAAAAATGTGTACAGTGGAAAAGATGGATAGTATAAGTATTGGTGAGGAAGTGGACCACATTTTTCCATATGTTACAGAAATGAGTGTAACTGGTGTAAGCACTTTATCTAACTCTCTGGTATTATCTATTAATGCTGAAAATACACATACATTGTGGCCCCCAAGTCCCATTCTCTAGTATATAGAGGTCCCAAACTGGAAACAGCCCAAGTGTCAGTCAAAACTAGAATGGATGAATATATTAAGATGTGTAGACACATTGAAAATTATAAAGTCTTGAGAATGATTTAACCATAACTATACTGAATAAAAAGTGGAATATAGAACAGTACTTATTGTATGCTATATATAAGGATCAAAAATGTCCAAACTGGTCAGTGGTACAGACCGAGATAATGGTAATAAAGTAATCTGGTTAAAGACATGGTTTTAAAGCCATGCATGTCTGAGATTAGGTCTTACGGCAGCAATTTACTTGATCTTTCTGGGTTTTGGTTTGCTCTCTACATAAAATATTAGTACCCTCATAAGAGGCTTGTACTGAGGATTAAATAAAATATACATTTCAATGCTTAATTAACGCCAGCTGTGATGGACACCATTCAATAGGCAAAACACTTTGGTAACTTCTGAATTCTTCACACATGAAATAAATGAAGTTTGGTGGTATTAAGAAAATTCACATAAATATATGTTAATATCAGTACCAGATAAAGAGAGTTATTGAAGAAAAAGATGGGGGATAAGAAAAGCTCTTAAAGCCCAGTGAAGTGGGCTCACAAGTCTCACAACCTTGCAGTGAACATCATAGGAGGACTTGGGATTTCCCTATAGAAACATTAATACACAGAATTCAGAGAACAGGTAGGGGGAAAATCAGGTGAAGAAAAAGATGAGAGGAAACATAAAATGAGATCAGTTGAAGAATGGTGTCAGCAGTAAGAGCTGTCCAAGTCACAACTTTTAAAGGAGACATGTTTATAGCCCAATGAGTGCTCATGACAATGGGGTTAAATTAACCATACCAAAGAGGGTCCTTGACTCTAAAAATTTTCCGAAGAGCATGTTTCATGTCCTTATTCCTCAGGCTGTAGATGCAGGGGTTCAGCATAGGGGTGACCACCATGTACATTACAGAAGCAATTATGTCCTTGTCTTGGGAGTTGCCTGATGAAGAGAAAAAGTAAACACCTGCAATTGTCCCATAGTATAAACACACCACAAAGAGATGGGAGCCACATGTAGACAAGGCTTTGGAGATTCTTTTGAAGGAGGGGACCTTCAGAACGATGCCTGCCATATGGATATATGAGCCCAAGATACCACTCAATGGTAGAATGAGTACCAATGCTCCTTCAGTGAGGATAAGCAGCTCATTGAAAGAGGTGTCTGAGCAGGAAGACTTGAGCACAGCAGCAAGATCACAAAAGAAGTGTGGGATGACAGTCCCTGCACAGAAGGACAACTGGTCCACGAGGAGGGTGTGCAAAAGAGCTTGGATGCAAGAGAAGAACCAGGATCCAGCCACTAGGATGATACACAGCTCCTCCCTCATGGTGGTGGCGTAGTGGAGAGGGTGACAGATGGCCACATACCTGTCATATGCCATCACTGTGAGAAGAAAGTTGTCAAGGCAACCAAAAAATATAAAGAAATACACCTGTGAAATACACCCCACATAGGGGATGGATTGTTGCTGAGTCTGCATGTTCATGAGCATCTTTGGAACTGTGACAGATGAAAGGGAAATGTCAGAGAAGGCCAAGTGGCTGAGGAAGAAGTACATGGGGGTGTGAAGGCGAGAGTCCAGCCTGATGAGCAGGATGATGAGCAGGTTCCCCAGCACTGTGGTCAGGTACATGCCCAGGAACAGGGTGAAGAACATGCCCTGCTGCTCTGGCCGGATGGGGAGCCCCAGGAGGAGGAACTCACTGCTCTGGTTCTCAGGCCTCATGCTGTGCTTTTACATGCTGGGGATAAAGGAGGATTGGAAATATCAGGAAGAATGATAGGGACACATTCCATACTGTAATATTCTGAGAAAACAATGCATTTTAAACTACATTCCTATTAATTTCTCACACCTGTGGATGCATGCATCTTCACTCTGTCCCAGTCTGGCTCTAGGAAAACATTATAACCAAAAGCAGCCAACAAGACCTCATTGCACAGAAACAAGAGAGCATTCACTGTTTCATTTGACCATTATTTACTGAATGTTGAGATTGAACCTGGGCCTCTGCTAAGTACTGAGAATGTAGTGGTGGACAAGAAAAGCAAGGTCCCATATACTGGGATAATTTATGACACCAAGACAGAGCCAGACGAAAACAGTTCGCTGTGGCAGAAGTAGTAGATGGTCCTTGGCAAACTAGTATCAGTTGTTTCTGCCTTAAAGTGACATGCGATGCCATCACTGAGGTGGCCTTGTTGGAATGCTGTCACATTCCTCCTGTGAACCTGGCTGGATCACACTCATCTACAGCTGTAAGCTCACCAGTACTCTAGAAATGGGGGGTCATTCAAACCCCACCTGAATGCCAGAACAAGTCCTAAACCAGAATACCTCTCAAACAATCTTCCATAATAATGGTGAACATTTGGGGGGTTATACTATGTGCCAGGCACTATGCTTAAAGGCTTTACTTATGTTTCCTAATTAAATACACACATCAGCCTTCCATTATCAGATAAAATCTTTGCTGTTTCACTAAAAATTAGGGTAATTTTCTCATTTAAGCCATTAAGAAATTGTTCCATAGGCAACAAGTTGCTGTTAGAAATAGGATACATGTATGTTCATATATACATAAGGGGATACACACACACACACACACACACACACACACACACACACACAGATGGGAGTGTTTGTATACATATATATTCCATCTATCTCTACATTCCATCTATCCATATACATATACTCAGATGGAATATATGTAGACATACATATGGGAATACACACACACACACACACACACACATACACATGCACACACATACACATATATATGAGATATACAGCCAACCCTTAAATAACATGAGGGTTGGGGTGCTGACTCCCATGCACAGTCATATAACTTTTGACTCCCCCCAAACTTAATTACTAATAGATAGCCTACTGTTGACCAGAAGCCTTACCAATAACAAATAGTTGATTAACACATACTTTGTATGTGTATTATATACTGTATTCTTACAATAAAGTAAGCTAGAGAAAAGAAAATGTTATTAAGAAAATCATAAGGAAGAGAAAGCACATTTATAGTATTGTACTGTATTTATCAAAAAAATCCATGTGTAAATGAACTTGTGCAGTTCAAACCCATGTTGTTTAAAGGTCAACTGTGTGTGTGTGTGTGTGTGTGTGTATACATATATATATATGTGTGTGTGTATATATATATGTGTATATATATGTATACACACCATATGTATGGATATATATATGAATACAGTACATATATATATATATCCCTATAAATAAATATATATATTGAACTATTGTCCTACTTCTATAATTGCCATTTTCTATAGATCAAATATTGGTTACCTCATATAGTTCAACTTAATATTGTGTGATCATCACTTACGCTTTTAACATGGAAATCTCTCTTTTCACTGGGTGTGAATGCCAGAGACAGTATGTTATTTTAGGGTTGCAAGGAGACTGAAGCAGTCCAAAATTTTCTTGGTGCCTGTCTGGATAATCTCTGTCATTTATATTTATATATTTTCCAGTTGACAAAAGGCTCTCCCATACATTAACTTCTATTCAAGCCATAAATACTTACAGAGGGCCTGTAAGCCTCCATTTTCTAGATATGTAAACCGAGGCCAAATAGTTGAGTGACTCTCCCAAGGTCTTGCCGCCATTTGGTGAGACTCTGTGCTCTAACTTCACTCAGCAACACGCCTAACATTCCTTTGTCTGGGACATTAAGTGAATGTGCAAGGGTTACAAAACTCTGAGCCACTGACTCACACAGGTATATGAAAATGATAACAGACCCTTTTTAGGAAATAGTCACTTAGAGCAGTGGTTACGTCCATGAGAAGGAGGTCACTTAAGGAACTAATTGAAGTCATGAGTGCAAATCAGAAGTCTCCAAACACACATACAAACACCACACGCACACACACACAGATACACAGACACACACACTGCTGATTTGAAGATTTCAGTCACCTGTGTCTGAGTCCCATTGTAAGAGAAAGATAGCCAGTATGTGGTTTATTTCATAAATACTAATATACATACAAGTCATGAATAACACACAAGGCAGGATGTACATAATATGCAATTATGTATCACCCACAAATACATTCACAATGCACCATTAACATACAAGCATGTCATACCTGGTAAAATACACAACTCACATATGCATAACTCATCACTATACATACACATCACCAAAAACACACAAGGCCATACACAATTTCAAAATCTCACAAGAAACATGCACCAACAACACATGCACACTTAGTCACTCTCTACCAGCAGCATGCCCACTCCCATCACTGAAGTTAGGGCCCCTTCCCAGTGAAGGCAGTCAGTCATCATGGGGAAATTAAGCCTATTCAGTGACAGGCACCATCATTAAACCACCACCAACAACCCATACACATGGCAACATACACATGGTAACAGACACACAGACAAAAGGAAACAATACACATTCCTGCTCTTACATACAAGTTGTCATTCACAAACAGACACACTAGCACATGCTGCTGAGGACAGATTTGGGCCCCTTCTAACTTTGGTTCCTTGAAGAGGTTGGATATCCTTTTCCCCAGCAGTGGAGACAACAGTCTTACTCCTAACGCTGAGTTCTCATCACTCAGCTGTGATGCCCATCACCCCATTGGGAGAATGCCACTGTCATAACAATAGAGGCAAATATTGAAGATCACAGATATGAATCAGAAGTCCCTAATCACATGTTGGAGGCTGATAACTTATGCACTAAAACACAGCCCAGATTGGGCCTAACTAACTGAAGAAAAGAATCAGGCTGTGAATCAGTTACGTAGTACACACACAGCCAGCTATCAAACAACAGGTATACAAGCATATACAGTGCATGCAGACACACACACACACACGAACACAGAGATGCTCATACACAAACCCACAATTATATAGGAAGATCCATCGCCACGTGCAGATTTCCAGCTCCTTCTGACCTGTGCTCATCATCCCTGAGTTCAGACACTTCTTCCAGACTGTTGCCAAATTCTCAGCTTCTCTTCATAGTAAAGGAGGAGCCACTGTGGGTTAACTGGCCAATTTCTTCCTGCCATATGGAGAACATCATGTCCAGGAGCCAGAGGGGACTGGAGTCACAAGGGACAGTGTCTCTAATGCCAGGGATGTCTTGGACTTGTTTCTTCTTGGGCACAGTTCCAAGCTCAAATATTTTTGGGGCTTGGTTCTAGCTGGGATTCAACTTTTTAAAATTTATTTTTAAAAATGACTTCATGCTTAGAAAAAAGTTGTAAAGATGATAGAATAAATTCTCTTATGCCCTTCACCCATACTCTTTTACAAAAGCTAACATTTTACCATGTTTGTGTGTGCATACACATGTGTGCATGCGTGTGTATGTGTGTGTGTGTTGAAGATTCTAACTATAGATCTTTCATAAGCCTACGACAGTGCATATTATCAGGAGGCACATGCTTTGGTTCAGAAGTCAGGGCTCATGACACTTCACATAGGAAGATAATTTAAAAGAAAGAATGAGGCACAAAGGATTCTCGAGGAATCTGGGTGGGTACAAGCTACAAGTTGGCTTGGACAAAGCAGAGAGAATGGGTTTGGGAATTTGTAGTGGTAAAGGGGTGGGAGTGGAGAAAAGTTTCTGCTGGAGAAAGAGACTATGTATTGTGCTATCTGAGAAATTTTGCCTGTATTATTTGTCAGCATGCAACAATAAGTGCCCTTATGGGAAAAAATGTCCCCTTGGCTGGTCATCAGATAATCTAAGGCTAGGCAATTATTAGCAACCATTGTTGCCAGGGATCATTGTCTTTCATTCAGGGCTCCCAGGGCTGTGGCAGTTTGAATCATATATATGGATATTATTTTATACATTTCCTGACTGGCATAATTCTTTCATTATGTTGCGTAATATGGTGGCCTCCAAGGCAGCACCAGTGACCTCCATTGTGGTCAGCAGAATGAGGGCAGTTGACAAGAATATAACATACTTGGTGGTGAGAATAAAATTGGTGGGTTTTGTTTTGGAGTATGAGTCCAAAATGCAGACAGTACAAGTCAAATTATGAAGAGAAGCCTGGGTTAGAGAGGAATAAATTAGTGCAGGAGTAAGGGATAGTGGAGAAGAAGAGAATATCCCTCATGGACTAGAAGCTTAGACTGAGAATTTGGCATGGGCAATGAGGAACTACTAAATTTACAGTAAGCATTTTAATCAAGACATAATATGGGGCTATTCTGGATAGTTGGCGTTAGTATTTTAAAGGAAAGACCAGGAGAAAAACAAGGTTTAGGTTCAGAGATGTGGACCATCAGATATATAGGAGCTGGGTTGTGTTATTGTGAAGGTTTCTTTAAGATCATTTTGATAGGCTACAACATGGCCAGGCAGTTGAGAGGGTGCCTTATGGCATACCCAACAATTCATATCCTTTAAAATATGGCTATTTGCTCAGTAAGGTTTACATAGCAATTATTTTATAACGCATCCTTCAGTGCTGGTTGTATATCAGAGATGGGGGCTAGAAGTGCAGACATCTGGGAAGGAGCAGAAAATGCAAGGATGGAAGGGGAAGGGAGTAGCGTGTGATGGTTGGGGTTGAACTGGGAAAGAAAGGATATGAAAAGCAGGAGAGTGTTTTGAGGGTGAAGGGAACATTGGATAGGAGATTTACAAGGGACATGAGAACTGGATGAGTCCAGTGGGGAGATCAAGGTCACCATCACAGGTAAGCCCAGCT